TGCAGCACGTGCAGAAAAAGTGTCTGGGAAAGGCAGCAACGCTTCAAATCTCATGACACATCTGTGTGACCATCACCCACAACTCTACAGTCAACGCAAGGCAAGCTAACGTTAGCGTTTTAGCTAAAATGCGTGATCCGAGGATTTGGGTTGAGGGAGAATGCAACGAGTCGCTACATAAAGCAGCCGCAGCGCCGCTACCTGCATATAAACCGTGTCGCGGACACCCCCATGTTGAACTGATGCTATGCATTACGGGGCTCCCAGGGGCAGATAAGAGTTGGTCTCTCTCCGAGAATAATTATGAATTTAACAATGATTACTGCCTGATGACATTTTCTCAAATCTGCAAAGCTCACTGGAACACAAACCGAGGACAATACGTTCCTGATATAGGGTTTATTACTCAAGTAAGGGTAAAAAAGTATCTGATTAGAAGGCTACTTGAGTACTGAGTATCATCTGATCTAATATTTTTAAAATGATGACATCAAACAGACATAAAATAAGAAGTTATGGGCAAATATTGGTATTTTATAGACTAAAGGGAAAAAATGTAAACAAATAAACAACATAATTACAAAATAACACATTTTAGGCAAAATTTAGACACAAACTGAGGACAATATTTCCTGACATACAGGGTTTATTTAATTGTGTGAAAATGTAACACGTTTAAAAAAATACCACAATAATACCGAAAACCGTGGTAATTTTGGTCACATTAACCGTGAGGTTAAATTTTCACACCGTGACAACCCTAATGCAGACCATTTTAGATCAGGTTACATTTCCTTTATTCCCAGATTATGTAGTTTGTAGCACTCATTATAACGTTGTAGAAAATTTCTGGCCAATCCACGTGATCGGTATCGGTGATCAGCATTCTTTGATATCGGTATCGGTGATCGGCAGCAAAAAACCTGATCGGTGCATCCCTAGTTTTTACACAACACGTCTGACTTTTGTTGTGTTATTGATGTCTGTTGTCCCTCGGGGTTGCTGCAGGAGGACACAGGTATTTATGAGAGTGGTGGAGGAAAACGAAAGAAAATAAATAAATGTTTTGTGATCAGTATAATTTGACATAACTACGGCAAACATGCTTTCTCGACAATTCTTGTTATTGTGTGAGAAAAAAAAGTGTAGAAATTAAAACAGCGTTTGTTAATAGTTTAACAGCTGGCGAGCCATGTTTGCGCATGCGCCGTGAGTGGTTCTAGTGCTGTTTGAGCCGCAGCGGCTCGCAGCGCTACTTCAACAGTTATCCTTCTAGTTTTTTCAGGCTCAGGTTGTTTACTTACTTTTTGCACAGGCATTTGTTTACTGTGAAGTAAAGTTGAAATGCTGAAGTTTAGAAAACTAATTTTGAATAAAACTTGAAGAATCACTGGCACTTGCTTGCTCATTTTAAGAGGTCTTTCATATTTTATAACATGCTTTCTGATATAATGGTTTACAAACACAAAAGGGTAATTTATTAGAGTACTCGATTAATCGATAAAAGTTTTGATAGAGTACTCGATTACATAAATATTCGATTAGCTGCAGCCCTAGAAGATGGCTTTTAAAGGAAAGCAGATCAATTTACAAACTCATATTTGTCGGGCAGAAACCTTGTGTCGAGTTACCCGATGCTTGAGCTGACAGCACATTTGGTCATCTTTCTATTTTAATTTAATTTTCATGGCACTGCTATGGCTATTATCATGGCTGTGGTTGTTTGTCTCTGTTGTCACCCGCATCTTAGAGCTATAACAATATGCTTACTTAAAAAAGCAACTTCTCTTCATTCATAAAGCATTTGAATTTTTCTTTAAAATACGTGTGATGAACCAGTGGTCAAATTTTCATCAATAAAATGACCAGAAATTAACTTTTCATTTGCAGACAGAAAAACACCATCTGTCTGTCCTCTGAATCCAAAACAAAGTTTTGCCAGTTCTTGTTACTGCAAAAAGCCATAACATCCTTGCTCAAGGCCTCAAGCAGGAGTCAGACTGCTGTAACCTCACTCTAAATAAAAGTCAACTTCCTCGAAGTTCCTACGTGACTTTACAACTTATATATTGAAATAATCAAATATGTTGAATGAACAAGATGTTAAATAAAATTTTTTGAATAATCTGTGCTTTAGTCACCGATGGCTTTAAAATTAATATTGTTCCTGCATTGATCCATTTCAGATCTCATCTACACCAGATCAGTATGTGCTTGATTTAACAATACATTGTGTTACTCACACACGAAAATCCAATAGTTATTAATGTTATCATTTACTTCCAGTGTTCCCCTAGGAATTTTTCCAGCTGTGGCGGTGGGGCCGGCGGGGGGGGGGTAGAGCGGAGACAACTCATAGAAGCACTGATTTGATCTCATTTCAGAGAAAAATTGCACAGGTTTGATGCACATAATAAATAAAATTACTAACAAACTCAGGAATGCGTTTCTTTGCTTCACTGTTCTGGTGCTGAGAATATCACTAATGCGGATCAAAGGAGATACACAGATGAATGCACCTCTTATTTATTATTTGGAGACTACATTTACTGCAGCTGGCAGAGGCAGAGATTGTTTCTATTGATATACGGAATTTACAGAATCATTTTAAATGTTAATAGGGGAAGACTGCAGGAGGGAGCGGTAAAATACATGGGGTCCCCAGCAAAAACAAGAAACTTTACGAGTCTGATGAAACCCGCTGGTTTTCCATCAGGCAGTCACGGGGTAGCTCCAATGACCCAGTGGCTGTGCTGGGTCAATGTTATCGAGCCCAGTCCGGTACCGGCCGTGAACGAGCCGAGGCGACGTCGTGCTCTGCTTAAGAAGAAGCATTATTTTCCCGCTTCAGAAGAAGCGTCCAACGTGTTTTTACGCTTTCCCCGAGACATGTCACGTCGCTGAGTTGTTAGCGCCGCGCGCTAACACGTCAATAGTGCAGCGTAGCCTGCTGGAGGTTTTAAGGGTTCAGATGAAAACACCCGACCTTTCACGCTGCTCACACATCGATCTTAAGTTGTCGCTGTTGCGCTCACGCCGTAATACAGTATTAGATGTGGTTAAAGTCAGACATGAAAAAATAAATAAATTTTACATGATTAAGTGATGATTAGCCTGGGGGGGGGGGGACCTGGCCTAATAAGCACTGGAGGAAACCCTGTCAAGATCGTCAACACTAGTTTATCTTAATGCTATTGAAACATGTAAACCAAAAAGCATTATATCCACTGCTACCTTTCTAATTTTAAACTCAGTAACTTATGCTGTAACTGCACCTTGCCCTGCCTGCTCCTCCTTGCTGCCCGCCGGCTGTGATCACAAGCGACAACTTAGTAGTTCCTGCTGCTTCTTCGGGAAACAGCGCAAAAGAAAAAAAAAAACCTTGGGATCTTGTAGGCGTGGCAGTGGGATTTTAGCCGTGGCGGCCCGCCACAGCTACGTCTATGTAAGGGAAACCCTGGTTAGTGTGATCAGCTCTGAAAAGCGTTGATCACAATTTGCAGATCACATTTATTTTTCACGGAGATCGGCCGCGGATTCCTCTTCTAGTCGGCATACTAGGAATCAACACTAGGAATCAAAATAAAAGACTTTGAACGATCCCGGGAAAACCTAACAGTTGGAACCGGTTCCAATCGATGCTTGATGCCCAACCCTAAGCTGCAGTAGGTGCAAAATGCTGCTGCAAGTTCTTAACAAGCACAAATAGACGTAGCCATTTCACCCCTGTTCTGGCATATCTCCGCTGGTTGCCCGTGACTTTCATGGCGTGCTTCTGTTCTTTGTTTTTGAAGCATTGAACTGTCTCACACCATACTACCCATGTGACCTGCTCACACCCTATGTGCCAGCGTTCTCACTGAAACCAGCAAATCGCCAGCTGCTCTCTACTCCAACAGTGAACTATAAAGCAGGGGGGAGCAGGGTTTTGTGTATGCTGCCTCCTTTCTCTGGAATGCACCGCCCATTGCAATTCAACAGTCATCATTTTTCACTGTCTTCAAGTCACGACTGAAGACCCACTTCTATGCTTTGGCTTTTGGAAAAGGACTACTTTTTTATGTTTGTTCCCTTTGACTTTGTATTTTTTTACTGTGTGGGCGTGGGAACAAGCCCCCGCACTGTGAGAACAAACATCCTAGCTCTAAAGCCGATCTTCATCCACGTACGTCACGTGATCAGGAAGCGGAAAATCCATGTGTTAGGAGATTTTTTTATTTTTTTACAGCAGCGGCTCAAAACAAAGTGAGGCGTGAACCGGAAAAGCTTCTGCCAATCACAACTCGACAACGGATAATGAAAGAAAGGATAGTGGTCGAACCGCGCAAATTCTTCCAGTTGTAAGAGATGAGTCTCCTCTTTGTTTTGTTATTTTTGACATTGACATCATAGAGCGCAATGTTCTGTGTGAAAAAAAAACTGTGAAAACGCTGAAAAACGCTGGCAGTGAAGGGCTTTTCTGATCAGCAAATGGCTGGCAGTGAAGGAGTTAATGTGCCAAAGCTTGATTTGACAAACATTGAAATTACAATTCAATCTTTTCCTACAATTGTTCAGCTCTTATGGTAAAGGAAGCTTCTGATTCTTTGTCCAAGACTTTTATCTTGACCACAACCAGCATCACTTTCTCTGGCAAAAACACAACCCTCTCCACCAACCTGGGTGTCAAAATGGATTCACAACTCATCTTTGACACCCACATTAGACACCTGTGTAAGACTTCCTTTTATCATCTTAGGAACTTTGCCAAACTACATCCAATGCTGAGCTTGGCAGATGTAGAGAAGCTTGTACACATCTTCATCTCTTCTAGAATGGACTACTGTGCAACTATGAGTTTGCATTTTGTAAATCTATTATTCTCTGTGTTTTCTCTCAGAACAGAGCTCATCTTCACATCCCACTCTCAACCCCCTCGCTGCTTCTCTCCATCGCTGCACCACAGAGGAACATTCCTACCTTCTTCACAACAGTCAGACAGGAAAAGTGAAAAAGTCTACCTGCTGCAGGCTCAGGCACACAATCTTGGCACTCTGGATGGGGTTGATGAGCTTGCTCCTGCTCACCAGCTCCTTGATGATGTCACCAAATTCTTTCAAATGCTGGGAGAAAAAAATCAATAGTTTAATTAACAGCCTTAGATGAGCGTCTGAAAATGTAAAATGATCCTTTCTCTCCACGTCATTCTGACTTCTTTTAGCTACTGTTCTCTGTGACTCATCTTTAGCACCTCTCTGGTTCCAAATCAGATTTTGCCACCCTCCTCCTCTTTTAAACACATCTTTTTAAATCAGACTGCTCCTGTATTCCAAGCCCAGTTCATTTATTCAAAGAGTAATCAAGTACCCTAGCTGTAGATACACGTGTCTGTGTTATTACACGGGGAGACTCAGGTCAGCACCACCTTGCTATAGTGCCTGAAGACGTTGGTTGCTGCTGTGAGGTCCAAAACACCATAAATGATCAATTTGCAGTAGCCAGCCAGCTGGTTGCGTTTCTTCTGAATAGTCATCCTTTGATCCTCACTCACATCTAAACAGGAGAGGCAAAAAGAGGACAAGATGGAGGAATAACAAAGAGTTACTTATGTTTAGAAAGAAGGGATAGGGAAGGTGTTCAGGTGTTTAGAAGCAAACAGAGCACCTGGGCCTGCTGGTATTATTTCAGGGGATTTGACAGAACATCCTAAACTATGAGAAGACTCCAAACAAAGACATCAAACAGAACGTTCACAGGCAAATGTGAGAGTAGAATCCCCAGGGAGGGAACAACTGAGATGAATCCTCTTCATCGTGACTCAGAAAAAGAAACCAAGTAATACACCAGGGAAGTCGACGATAACTGAAGCCGCTTTAGAAACTTTAGATACCATCCAGCTCAAAATGCTCCGTGTTGTTAAAGACATAGTCCAGAAGGAAAGAAGCCATCTCAGCACGTAGAGAGTCAGACGGCAGGTGGACCAGGCTCCTGAGGGCAGGCTCGGTGCTGACTGAGCAGGTGCTGTACAATAGCAGCAGGTCACACAGGAGCTCAAAGGCCTACAAAGGGAAGCAAAAGTCAATGCTTGTCAGAAAATAATCTAAAACAATATGGCTGTTCTGCTACTGTAGGAGATGCTGCTCATTTACCTGATCTCTTATCTCAGACTGGTCCAGAGACAAACAAGACTGGCAGATATTACAGAACCAATGCACGTCCTTCTTCAGAAGCCTCAGTTCAGCCTTGGAGAGAGGAGTCATGGCAGAAGAGTCACATCCAGATGTTGATTATCAAAAGTGCATTGTGTAAAAGAGACATCCTGAATACGGCTGAATCATATATTACACGCTTTAGAGAATGAACCAAACCATTATGCTTTTAAAGCAGTGGACGGTTAACAAAATAACTGTTTTTTGCAGTTTTAGTTGTCAATCACATTCGGTAAAGAGGTCATCCGGGTCCTTCAGAATAAACAAATCTAAAAAAAAAACTAAAATGACAAACTAAGCATTTAAAATTGAAATAGAAACAGACAAATGAAGCAAACAATATATGAAAAATAAGCTAAAGGAGAATCACATTGCTGCACTAGCCGACACAAACACAAAGGAGTGGCTGTGACAGGACCACTGCTATTGTTAAAGCACCAGTGATGTAGACACACCAACACCACCAGGATCCAAGAGGATGAACAAAAAGCAAACAAGCTCTGTTTCATGTTTATATCCATCAGTCACCTCCGCTGGCTTGAAGCTGACCACATTGACTTTGGCCCACATCAAATGAAAACCTGCAAACTTTAGAGCTGCCACCATCAGCTGAAATCACACAAAAACAAACTTTTATCATATCAAGGACAAAAAACAGCAAACTACAAAAGCTTGATGCAAAGGCAAAATAGTATTGTTAACTCAGTGAAGCCTACATCATCATATGAACTAAGTTAAATATCACCACTGATGGCACTGATGACTTGACACCCTCTCCTACATTATTTCCACAAACCCCGAGTCATAAACCCACAAAAACATTAAACTCAGTTAAAAACCTCTTTGTCAAAATCCAGGGACTCAATCCTGCTCTTCAGTAACTCAAGACAGGAGCCAAGCAGCTTCCAGGAAGTGGGGTCTTTGGCACTGAGAAGCACAAACTCCACATCAGCATGATCCCAGGTCCAGGAGCAGCACTACAGCTACACGAGTCACTATAGACCTACCTGCTCAAGGCAGCCATTCTTTTCAAGGCTGTGGAGGCATTGTACACATCATCCTCATCTGCAGTCCCCTAGGAAAATCAAACACACACATCTGGGGTTTATTAAGTTACAATAAACAAAATTACCAGATTTTAAGAAAATAATCACATTAGTTCCCTTTTTTAAGTAAAAACTCTAGTTGTTTTTTCTACTTTGATTTATATCTCTAAGGAACAATTTATTGTTAGTTTGAACAAATGACCAGAAGATGCTACACAATCAAAGAGTGTAAGCTATCAAATCATCAGCAAACAATTATCATTACAGCAATTTTCAATAAGTTCTATATTGTCCAACACGGATGTTGTTACCATAAGTGAGTAGGATCAGCATCCATCTCCATTCTCTCACTCCATTCGCGTTTATGTGAAAGCAGATTGTTTTAATCTTATTTTTATCTTGGTGCTGTAAATAAACGGTGGTAAAGCATTGTATAACCAACCACCTGTGTGTACACATAAGCAAGCCCCACCGTCTGGCATGTGTTCTAACCTGCAGCAGGTCACTCAGGTAGGTGTTGAAACTTTCAGTCAGGTCATCCAGCAGCTGACTGAACACCAGGTGTGCGCGGGAGGAGAAGGTGTAGCTGTCTGAACATAATGTGCTGATCAGGTGGGTGCAGGCCTGCAGCACAGTGGCCTCCGTGTGCTTCTTCACAATGTCACATATCTGAGCCAGTAGCAGGTCCAGATGCTGACGGGGATGGGGGGGACAGAATATGCACACAGAACACAACTTTCCTGATCTGAAGGTCTGACCTAGTTTTAATTTGTTCTGACAGGTTACAAAGAGCTTTTCAGGTCCAAAAAGCAGAAATGCTAACAAAAAGCACCTCTTTTATAAGATGTATGTCCCACATTTTCTCATGTATTAACAATTAGCATCATATTACAGGAGAATGTAAAATATATTATGTGAAAACAAACATTCAAAACTAGGGCCCGACCGATATATCTGCCGACATTGGGGTCATTAACACTATTGGCTATCAGCCAAAAAGACGGCCGATAAGGCCAATATTGCACTTCCTATCCAGCAGATGGCGCCAGCTTCATGAACTCATGTTGTGTGGCTCCACTCCTTTGAACTTTGAACACAAATTATTGTTTTGAAACTTTTTTAAAATTTATTCTTATTTATGTTTCTTATGTGCAATTATTTCCTGTCCAGGGTGAATGAGTTCACCAAGTTAACTTCCACAGAGTGTTACTTTGTTACAAAGCACACGTATTACGTTTTATTTATTGCTGCAATTTTATTATTTTAATATTCTTATAGGGATCTTCTGTCCCTAAACTTGTGTGTGTTGTTAGATTCCCCAGAGGTAGCCAAGTCAGAAAAAACATTTTGTAACCAGTCGTTTTAGCATAAAGCAATGTAAGGGAAGGCTTGCATTCACCTACATAAAAAAACACTACAATGTACGTGAATGCACTTACATTGTTTTATACTAAACTAAGAAAACCAACTGCTGCCAGATCACATTGGGCTGGTTATAAAATGCTTTTTCTGACTTGTCTAACTCTGGGGAATCTTAACAAGACACAATTTTACTGAGTGGTGGAATATTCCTTTAAGTTAAAATGTATTTGTGGAAACCACAGTTTACAAGAAAAAACTTGAATGTTAGATTTATGCCGTGACTGAGTTTGTGTGTTCTGTTGTTTTTTGAGATCTGCTAAATAAATCTTATTTGCATTACTTGGAAACCCTAGTGAGTTATTGAGACAGTTCTTTGGTGAGTAATAGAGAAACAAGTTTGCATCAAAAAGGCAGAGAAGGAAGGGTTTAAGCTTAAGAAAAATCTTATCTTTTTTTTGTGAGGGAGAATTATCGGCCATTATATCGGCTATCGGCCTTTGTTAAAAGTTTTATATCGGTATCGGTCCCAAAAAAAGCATATCGGTCGGGCCCTATTCAAAACACCAAGTTATTGACTCATCATGCAGGACCTTCCCAACTCTGGTTCTCATACCTTCTCCAGCCACTGAGTGCTGCTGTACATCTCCAGATCAAAGTAAAGAGGAGCTTTGAGCAGAAGGCTCACTTTTCCTTCATCAGCTGAATACTGAAGGTCAGTAAAAGGAGATATGGTCTGTATTAATTTACATGAGAATAAAATGCTGAAAACTTAAATAAGTTTAGCTTTTTACCTTGGAAAGCAGCTGAGGCAGAATGGGGATGAAGTGTGTGGTGATGCGGCTCCGGTCTTGTTCCTGGATCTTCTTTTCTTTTATACTCAGGAGCTGACCCCAGATCAACATTGGTCCACAAACACACAGGGAAGGCAAAAAACAGAAACATAAGGCAAATTGTGCATTTGTGCTAAAAGTATCGACCAATAGAGACCCAACCTACACAGACCATTAAACTTTAAAAAACAACACTTGCACCTTTTTGCTCTGAGACCTTCCAGCAGGCGGGGTGGCCTGAGTTGCCTGTCTGATGGCACACATCATAATATCCAGAAGCACTCCCTCCTCCTCGTAAATCAAACCTGACGTCACAAAAGCAGAAAACAAGAGCAAACTCAAAAGAAAGCAGGACAGATGTGTACAGCGCTAATGTATCATGATGAATTTCTAAGTATTAATCTTAATAGTTTCTGCAGAATCCATCTAGCTCAAACTGCTGCTAATGGTTTTGTCTCAATCTTCCTCACCAGCATCCTGCAGCAGTAAAGCTGTCATCGTCTCCCAGTCTCTTAGCTCAGAGCTTGCCACAGCCCACAGACTGTCCACCAGGTACGCCCCATGCTCGTGGAACTGTTAGAAGATGGTAAAGTTCAGATTTACTAACAAATGTTATAGCTGGGTTTAAAATACACTGATAAGTTTGTTGTTGCAGTGTTATCTCCCACGGATCTTTTTGAGTAAAGCAGCATTACAAGAATGTGTGACCTGAATCTTCAATAAAATACAAAATGAAAAGAATCCATGAGGAAAAACATCAATTTACACTAAACTTCAGTTAAAGCCAGTCTTCAAAATTCAAACAAAGGACTGTTGTGAGAGAAAACATGGAGGCTTGACCTCGCTCTGGATGGAGAAGGAGACGAGGATTTGAAGAAAAGCTGAGTTGTTGCGATGATCCTTCTCCTGGGCATCACTACAGATCACGCTTTTCAGTCTAACACATAAAAACATTTTATGAGTTACAAACAAACAACATGTAGTTGAAAAAATAACATAACTACCATTCAATATAAAGTGAGTTATTTAACATGCAAAAACACCCTCTGCTGCTGAAGGCGACGGATTTGTTTCTTTGCTTTTGTGGAAATCAACATTCATGTTGATGCACGCAATTATAACGATTACTATGATATTGTGTTTAAAACCCTATCGTGTTTTTAATTATTCATTCTGATGGAGCAAATCAAATAGGAACAATGAAACGATTTGTGAAAACTCCTTAAACAAAAACGCTGCAGCTTTAAAAACACCACAAAGATGACAACTCTGCACCTGTGCAGAACGTCTACACACTTGTTACAGAGGAAGGCGCCAGCTGCTGATGCCAGCCCTCGGTGGGAAGCATAAACCAGCGGGTAGATGTGGCCGCACTCCTCCTCCTTCAGGCCTTCTTCTGTGGTTCTGATGGTGACAGCACAAACAAATGGGTCAGCTTCACATGAGGAAAAGCTTTAGTCATCCAACAGATTTCCCTGCAGGTTTTTATAAAGAGCAGCAGAACTACTTTTCCTGAAACCACTCATTTTATATGAAAGCGTATTGTCACTAGTGCGAGGAAAATGCTAGAGCAGCATCTCGTATTAACGAGAACGTTTTTTATAATAATGTGTTTAATAACTCGTAATAGTGAGGAAGGTCGTAACGTAAAAATGTTGTGGTGTTTATTCAGAATGAACGAGGAAGTTATTCCAGTTGTTGATGTTTAACTTGTAGGAAGTGCAGCAGCAGCAGCGCAACAAAAACGAGGTTTAAATCAACAAATTACACTGGCTAGCTCTCTCTTCTGCCAACTCTGCCACACACATCCGTTGCCAAGGCAGCAGACTGACATATTTTAAACAGAACGGTTGTGCTTACGTGTAACAGGTGTGTAACACCAAAACTCCTACAGATTTCCCACAAAGAAAACATGTCTGGTGTAGTGTCAGTACATACTTTTTATGAATTTTATTTAGGGATGTTCCGATGGGGGACATTGAGTCCGAGTGGGCCTTGTTCCACTCTGCGATTGTCGAGGCGGCTTTTGCTAGCTGTGGTCGTAAGGTGGCCGGTGCCAGTCGTGGTGGCAACCCCCGTACCCGCTGGTGGACACCAGAGGTTCGGGGAGCCGTCAGGCTGAAGAAGGAGGCCTACAGGGCGTGGCTGGTCTGTGGGTCTTCGGAGGCAGCAGACAGGTACCGGATAGCCAAGCGGGGTGCAGCAGTGGCAGTTGCCGAGGCAAAATCTCGGGCGTGGGAGGAGTTTGGTGAGGCCATGGAGAAAGACTATCGATCGGCTCCAAAGAGGTTCTGGCAAACTGTCCGGTGCCTCAGGAGAGGAAGACAGCAACTCGCTCACACTGTTTACAGTGGGGATGGGGAGCTGCTGACGTCAACTGAGGCTATAGTCGGACGGTGGAAGGAATACTTCGAGGAGCTCCTCAATCCCACCAATGCGCATTCCGAGGAGGAACCAGAGCTGGGAGGCCTGGGGATGGACTGTCCGATCTCGGGGGCAGAAGTTGCTGAGGTAGTCAAACAACTACACAGCGGCGGAGCCCCGGGGGCGGATGAGGTTCGTCCTGGGTATCTCAAGGCTATGGATGTTGTAGGGCTGTCATGGTTGACACGTCTCTACAACATTGCGTGGTCATCGGGGGCAGTTCCTAGGGAGTGGCAGACCGGGGTGGTGGTCCCCATCTTTAAGAAGGGTGACCTGAGGGTGTGTTCCAACTATAGGGGGATCACACTCCTCAGCCTCCCTGGAAAGGTCTACGCCAAGGTACTGGAGAGGAGGGTCCGATCGATAGTTGAATCTCAGATTGAGGAGGAGCAATGTGGTTTTCGTCCTGGCCGTGGAACTGTGAACCAGCTCTATGCCCTTGCAAGGGTGATGGAGGGGGCATGGGAGTTTGCCCAACCAATCCACATGTGCTTTGTGGATTTGGAGAAGGCTTATGACCGTGTCCCCAGGGGCACCCTGTGGGGGACGCTCCAGGAGTATGGGGTGGGTGGCTTTCTGTTAAGGGCCATTCAGTCCCTTTACCAGAGGAGCGTGAGTTTGGTCCGCATAGCCGGTAGTAAGTCGGACCTGTTCCCAGTGAGGGTTGGACTCCGCCAGGGCTGCCCTTTGTCACCGGTTCTGTTCATCACTTTTATGGACAGAATTTCTAGACGCAGCCGTGGTGTGGAGTGTGTCGAGTTTGGTGGCAGGAGAATCTCGTCTCTGCTTTTTGCGGATGATGTGGTCCTCCTAGCTTCATCCAGCTCTGACCTTCAGCTCTTGCTGGGTAGGTTCGCGGCCGAATGTGAAGCGGCTGGGATGAGGATCAGCACCTCCAAATCTGAGACCATGGTTCTCGACCGGAAAAGGGTGGCTTGCCACCTCCGGGTCGGGGGAGAGGTCCTACCTCAAGTGGAGGAGTTTAAGTATCTCGGGGTCTTGTTCACGAGTGAGGGTAGGAGGGATCGGGAGATCGACAGGCGGATTGGTTCGGCGTCTGCAGTGATGCGGACGCTGAGCCGATCTGTCGTGGGGAAGAGGGAGCTGAGCCAGAAAGCCAGGCTCTCGATTTACTGGTCGATCTACGTCCCAATCCTCACCTATGGTCATGAGCTTTGGGTAATGACCGAAAGAACGAGATCGCGGATACAAGCGGCCGAAATGAGTTTCCTCCGTAGGGTGGCCGGGCTCAGCCTTAAGAGATAGGGTGAGGAGCTCGGACATTCGGGAGGGACTCGGAGTAGAACCGCTGCTCCTCCGGATCGAAAGGAGCCAGTTGAGGTGGTTTGGGCATCTGGTCAGGATGCCTCCTGGACGCCTCCCCGGGGAGGTGCTTCGGGCACGTCCTGCCGGCAGAAGGCCCCCGGGTCGACCCAGGACACGTTGGAGAGGTTACATCTCCAATCTGGTCCGGGAACGCCTTGGGGTCCTGCCGGAGGAGCTGGTGGACAAGGCCGGGGAGAGGACGGCCTGGAGCTCCCTAATTGGGATGCTGCCCCCGCGACCCGGACCCGGATAAGCGGAGGAAGACGAAGACGAAGACGGATGTTCCGATGATGTTTTTTTGGTCATTTGATTTTAGAGCATGTTCATCTTCATGGTTGGACATTGTTTGTGGAGTACCACAGGGGTCTGTGTTGGGTCCAAAATTACTTTTGTTATATATTAATGATTTGAGTAATGTAACAAATACACTGACATTTGTTTTGTTTGCCAATGATACCACTATTTTCTGTGCAGGAAATAATATTAGCGACTTAGAAAGGATTGTCCAAATTGAAATGTGCGCTATTAAAGAGTGGTTTATTGAAAATAAGCTTACTTTAAACATAGCAAAAACAAAATGTATGCTGTTTGGTATGGCTAATAAAACTGATGTTAAGCTGCAAATGGATGTGAAATTGAGCAAGTGACAGAACATAAGTTCCTTGGAATAATAATAGATAATAAAGTTGGAAACCACAAATTAAACATGTATACAGGTCCTTCTCAAAAAATAGCATATTGTGATAAAGTTCATTATTTTCTGTAATGTACTGATAAACATTAGCCTTTCATATATATTAGATTCATTACACACAACTGAAGTAGCTCAAGCCTTTAATTGTTTCTAATATTGATGATTTTGGCGTACAGCTCATGAAAACCCAAAATTCCTAACTCAAAAATTTTGCATATTTCATCCGACCAATAAAAGAAAAGTGTTTTTAATACAAAAAAAGTCAACCTTCAAATAATTATGTTCAATTATGCTCTCAATACTTGGTCGGGAATCCTTTTGCAGAAATGACTGCTTCAATGCGGCGTGGCATGGAGGCAATCTGCCTGTGGCACTGCTGAGGTGTTATGGAGGCCCAGGATGCTTTGATAGCAGCCTTAAGCTCATCCAGAGTGTTGGGTCTTGCGTCTCTGAACTTTCTCTTCACAATATCCCACAGATTCTCTATGGGGTCAGGAGAGGTGGCAGGCCAATTGAGCACAGTAATACCAGGGTCAGTAAACCCTTTACCAGTGGTTTTGGCACTGTGAGCAGGTGCCAGGTTGTGCTGAAAAAGGAAATCTTCATCTCCATAAAGCTTTTCAGCAGATGGAAGCATGAAGTGCTCCAAAATCTCCTGATAGCTAGCAGCATTGACCCTGCCCTTGATAAAACACAGTGGGTCAACACCAGCAGGTGACAGTGCACCCCAGACCATCACTGACTGTGGGTACTTGACACTGGACTTCAGGCACTTTGGTATTTCCCTCTGCCCAGTCTTCCTCCAGACTCTGGCACCTTGATTTCCGAGTGACATGCTAAATTTGCTTTAATCTGAAAAAAGTACTTTGGACCACTGAGCAACAGTCCAGTGCTGCTTCTCTGTAGCCCAGGTCAGGCGCTTCTGCCGCGGTTTCTGGTTCATAACTGGCTTGACCTGGGGAATGCGGCACCTGTAGCCCATTTCCTGCACACACCTGTACACGATGGCTCTGGATGTTTCTACCCCAGACTCAGTCCACTGCTTCCGCAGGTCCCCCAAGGTCTGGACACGGTCCTTCACCACAATCTTCCTCAGGGTTCAGTCACCTCTTCTCGTTGTGCAGCGTTTTCTGCCACACTTCTTCCTTCCCAGACTTCCCACTGAGGTGCCTTGATACAGCACTCTGGGAACAGCCTATTCGTTCAGAAATTTCTTTCTGTGTCTTACCCTCTTGCTTGAGGGTGTCAATGATGGCCTTCTGGACAGCAGTCAGGTCGGCAGTCTTACCCATGATTGTGGTTTTGAGTAATGAACCAGGCTGAGAGTATTTTAAAAGCCTCAGGAATCTTTTGCAGGTGTTTAGAGTTAATTAGTTGATTCAGATGATTAGGTTAATAGCTCGTTTAGAGAACCGTTTCACGATATGCTAATTTTTTGAGATAGGAATTTTGGGTTTTCATGAGCTGTATACCAAAATCATCAATATTAGAAACAATAAAAGGCTTGAACTACTTCAGTTGTGTGTAATGAATCGAATATATATGAAAGTCTAATGTTTTTCAGTACATTACTGACAATAATAAACTATCACAATATGCTAATTTTTTGAGAAGGACCTGTATAATAAGGTTGCGAGAAGCATCTACATTATGAATAAAGCTCGACAGTACTTGAATTATAAATCACTCCATGTCCTTTATTATTCATTTATTTATCCCTATCTTATTTACTGTGTAGAGCAGGGATTCCCTAAGTGTGGTGCGCGCACCCCTGGGGGTGCGAGAGCTGCTGCTAGGGGGTGCGCGAGGTGAAAAGTGTAATGGCTGTGGAGCTCAGAGGAGTCTGTCATATGTCACCATTAGCGTAGCAAGAAACTCATTTGTGGGTGGGCCAAAGAAAAAGTAAGTGGGCCCAATAAACGTAATTGAAAACAAGTATATTTTGCGCGCGCGCGCGCGC